GCAGCAGCAAAAGCAGCAGCAGCAGCAGCAGCAGCAGCAGCAGCAGCAGCAGCAGCAGCAGCAGCAGCAGCAGCAGCAGCAGCAGCAGCAGCAGCAGCAGCAAATGCAGAGGCAGAATAATAATGATAAGCAGCATATTCAGGTTGAGCAACAGAAAAATACCTCTAGAGAGTTGAAGAGACAAGTGAGTGGCAGCAGTCGGTACGCAACACAGAAGAATCGTGACTGGGACTCCTTCAACCAGTTCCTGCAGCACCATCAGCCCCCAGTTCCGCTTGCAGAGTGTACACCCACACACGTTATAACCTTTCTACAGTATTTCAACAAATTTGGTAGGACTAGAATTCACCAGGTGGGAGGATGTGACCTCTATGGAACCAACTCCCCTATGGATGCATGTGCCTGCCCTTTAAGGCAGACCTGGAGTAGTGCTGATTCGTTAGTAGGAAGGTTGAGGGTGGCTTATAACGAAAGAGTGACAGGAGCTAGCGGAGGAAGAGGAGGCACCAGGGCAGAGGCAGAGGTGGGTGGGGAAGAAGTGTTAGTAGGGAGTGGGAGCACTGGTGTGACTAGGTCACTGAGGTGCGAGGATAGTCCGTTTGACCATGGGATGGTTAGGCAATATCTAAAGACACTGAAAGAAGAGGAGGAGGAGGCAAGGGGAGTGCAGTTGAGGAAGAAGAGGAAAGCATTTGTCTAATATGGGCGCCATATGGTGAATCAGAGGGGTCTACATATTTATAAATATTGAAAAACCAGATAGCAATTTATATAGACACATCTTAATTTCTGTTGGAAGTGTGTAATTATGAGGTGAATTGAAAGCACTGGCTTGTGAAGGAGGGCCTATTTTCTATTCTAACAATTACAACACACCCAACAAAGAACGTTGTCCCACAATTGTCAAGCAAAGAATACATAAACCTCCACATGCCCCTTTGTATGTACGAACCAAATATCGAATTGTACTTGATTTAGAATGGCATGATATCGTCATATTTTGTTATGAAAAGGGGTAACAAGCTTCGAATCGCGTCCAGTATTAGCCACCAATAGCAATATAATTTTGAGTTTTCAGCATCTATGAAGAGAAGGAATTTGTGGTGGGTGGGAGGTGCAGGTGAGTTGGACGCGGCTGAAAGCCCCACCCACGACAACCACCAAAGAAATCTTTCCCGTGGCACCATGTTCCGCTTGACTGGAACCGCCACCCTCAACAATCACGATGTGTCAATCCAGTTGAAGGCATGTTTGACCCTGCTGCACTTACAGCAATACACTGTATCATCGACTGTACTTCATGATGAAATCATCTTGTTTCTTTTCAAAATCAGTCTGAAGAGGTTGAAACATCGTGATTTTTGAACTTATACTATATGATGCGAGGACAAGCATTGATAATAAAAACAGAAGACGATCTTGTCTCTCAAGCCTGAAACTCGTCATCCGCTTGTATGGAATATGACCAATAGTTGTATCGTTGATACGTTTATGAAGGTGACAACATGCTGAGCATGTAATGGGAATGACGTTCGTATAACAAGGATGATTAAGTCCAAATCTATGATACAGAGAACTATTTCATAACTCAGACTTCATCAAAGTCAGCGCTGACCATAGTTGAAGTCAAACATAACTCGTTGGGGGGGGAGTTATGAGGCTGACCATCTAGAAACCAGGGCCTGTAAGATAGCGTTGACTTTAAAGAGACTCACACCTTGATTGTCGTTGAAACCACCGATTCCAGACGGTCTGACGTATCCACCGTTGACTTGTCGTTGAGATGTTGAATCCAGATGAGCTACACAAGGGTTCGCGCGCGAGTTCGCTCTGTTACAATAGAAAGTTTGCACCCGTGTTTTTTTTACCAGACATTTGCACCCACATTACAAGCCCCTCGAGCAAGCTGCAGTCGTTATGAACCAATACGAACCACAGAAATCGAAGTCCCACAGAAGAGACCGAAGTCAAAATGTCAACAAGGAGTTACAGAGTTTTTATAAGCCCCTTTTTGCTAGGTGCGACGTTGACGAAGTTCTGCGAAAAGCCAAGAACCACTTAAAAGCCCTCTTCACAAGGCGACCTTGGGCCAGTCAAGCGAGCGTATGACTGAATGTCGAGGTGTGTCGCTCATTGCTACACACGATTTCTAGTGCAGCCTGTCGCCTTCTGTATTGCTACAAGACTAGAGCATCCTTCGATTGGCGTTTAGGGTTTCCCGGCTTACGTTGGTGCGTTCAGGACTGTGTCGGACGGCAATGGCGGTTTCACCAAGCAGGTGTCACTTCGGAATTAAAGGCCCGATTTAAAGTACATTTTCGGGTGTAATATTTGTTGCGCTTAAGAACATCAGCAGTTTCAAGAGCTCGTCTTTTCCGTTGGAGCGTTCGTTCTTTTCAAATTGTGTTTTCGGTGTGTTTTTGCACGAATACCATTAAAGATAGACAGAAACAGTCGACGCGTACACTATGTCCTCAACAGCAGATTAGTGTATCTCAGGCAAATCACGCTTCTGTTTGTCAAGCTCGCTTCAGAGGAAAATAGGCCACTACACCTAACCACCGCTATTTTCTTTCGGTCTATTTTCAACCCCACTTGCACAAGTGGGGTATGCACCCTTTCTAAATCTTTGACCGAGGGTTGTGTTGGGCATCATTAAATTGTAGCGAGAGTCTGTTCCAGATCCCCGAAGAGAGTACTGTAGAATTGCTCTATGGATTCAGATTCGCATAATGAGTTTAAACTTCGAGCATTAGGTGTCATTCATAGCCCCAGTCAAATAGGTGTCGAACTGAAATAGTCGAAAACGTGCAGGGTAACTTTGAAACGCGAGATTAGTGGGTTGGGTTTCCCCTTGAAAATAGCGGTGGTTAGGTGCTACCTAGTTCTCGATAATTGCACACCCCCTACCCTTTTTTTCGTATGTACCCTTTACAGAATTTGACTTGACGCGATGGACGCCCAGAGATTGCGGGACTAGACAGCTGGCAGGTGCCTTCAGAAAGAAACTCGCACTTAAAATTCGGGGTTGGGGTTTAGTTAGGTTTGGGTTCTCCTTTATATTCTTGGTGCACCTTGACAGTTAGCGAAAGTACGTCGGACCCTCCTCCGCGGTTTTCCTAAACGTTGGTAACTACCCTACGAAACCGATAGGAGTAGGGTAAGTACCCCAAGGTTTGCGATTAAGGGGTGTGAAATGATCGAGAACAGGATGTAACGGTACAGGTTCAAAATGTGTTTCCACCACATCAAATCAAATGTCTGTTCTCATCCGGCCGTAGCGTGGTCCAATCACTGTCCTGCCCGTGGACAGTTGCACGTGAAACAAAACCACTGTCAGTCCGACGGTAGGGCTTCAACTTGTACAAATGTACAACTGTGCTGTATTCCTCGTTTCAGACCGGCCTTGTAATCGGACCAGCAACGCCTACACTAGGCTCGGCATGGTGAGGCTTTTGGCTGGCCGAAGCTGCTGCCTCGTAGCTAACCAGCAAGATCTTTGGTTTGGAGCAGTTTTGGGGGGAGTCCACACCACTCCCTTCCGCACCTACCGCAACAAAAAGCGCCAAAGCACACCATTCCTTTCTGGAACTTCCTGTATTCCCCATGGGAACTACCCAGGCGAAGAGCAGCGTCCCAAGCTTTGCGCAACCTCCCAAACCGAACGAGACCCGAACCTCCTCCACAGAACATGGTTTTAGCCAATCAATTTCCATCCACACCAGAACAGCGTAACCATGTTCACCATGTCAGATGAATTCGCATTTGCTCGAAACCCCGTCCAAATGCGAAGTGAAACCGGGCCGCTCTGACACGGGCCTAGTGGATCACACCTGTTCCAGTGTCACTGCTTTTCCAGCAGCCAGTGAACCAAGCAAATATGGCCACCCCCAAAACCCAGATTAATATCGCCTCATCTAGTAGTAGCTCCAACTAAGAATGCGCATTTTCATACATTTTTTTCGGCGACGCTTCGGTAAATATCGAGATCCCGGTGGTTGTATTGTACGATTGGTGGCTGCTACCAATTTCCTCCTTCAGTGAAGTTCAACGGCGGAAATCTCTGTGGTCGCCAGCTCGTGAGTATACTACCATTTCCACCGACCCACTTAAGAATGATCTGATTGAGTGCCACTCAGCATTGCGACACTGCTACACAATCTGGATTTCTATTTCTCTCTCTCTCTCTCTCTCTCTCTCTCTCTCTCTCTCTCTCTCTCTCTCTCTCTCTCTCTCTCTCTCTCTCTCTCTCTCTCTTTCTCTCTCTCTCCCTCACACACACACACACGCACACACACTCATGATTTAATCCATGCTTGATTTCTCCCGCTTCCAATGACACGCAGGGCCCCACTGGGGAAAGCAGCCTGAGTCAGCCCCATACGGCAGTGGCATCAACCGTCGCAGACGTTGCTCTTGGGGACTTCGCACACTTATGCGGCACATAGTCTGTAGGAGACTTTCAAAGGATATTTCCCATTTCCTGCTGTGCTTGGTCTCCAGGAAGAATTGCACACTTCTGCCTTGCGTGGTTGTCACGGGGAGTGAGCACTTCTGTGGTCTTCAGGAGACTTCTCACACTACCTCCATCAACCTCAGCCTCTGGTTGCTAACCAGACACCATGCATCAGCCACCCAAGCAGCCAAGCAGCATGATGATCACGAGGGATGATGTCGGGAATTCTTCGTCGCTCAACATGCACCAGCTACCCAAGCAGCCAGTTACCGTCACGGATCATGCCACCAGTGATAGCAAAGCTCCTCTACTCAACATCAACCAGCCACCCACGCCGCCACATACCATCACAAGTTGTGATGGTGTGACTCACATTCGGAATGCGGCGTCAACTGTTAACATGCACCAGCCACCTACGCCGTACAATGACGATGACGACAAACAGGCTGCACGGATGTCCCCCCACTGGAGTGAGCCTCTTGAAGAGACGGAAAGAGGTATGGTAATTCCATCTTCTATGCGCAATCTGCCAGCCCACATTCTCATGCCGGTTCCTGGCTCTAACTTCGTTCCCTTGTCAATCCCACCATTATCAGCAATCCCAGATCCTAGTCGGGTGGAAGAAGCAACAGGAGCAGTGCAACGTTTGACTACAGCTGCTCGCACTCCTTCTTCTGTACCCACATTTGCTACTACAGCCACTGGTGCTCCTGCTACTGATTCATCCACAATTGCTGCTACAAACGCTTTCACTTCTGCTGCTACTGCTTTTACGTTTGCTGGTACAGCCACTGGCGTTCCTGCTGCTCCTGCATCCACATTTGCCGCTACAGCTGCTAGTGATCCTGATGCTCCTTCAACCACCACTGCCGCTACAGCAGGTTTATGGCATGACTTTCTTTTCTCAGAAAAATATACCACAGTTGGTGTGAGAGAGCAGCAGCAAGTGTTGCAGCAGCAGCAGAAGCAGCAGCAGCAGAGGCAGACAGAACAGCAGCAGCAGCAGCAGCAGCAGCAGCAGCAGCAGCAGCAGCAGCAGCAGCAGCAGCAGCAGCAGCAGCAGCAGCAGCAGCAGCAGCAGCAGAAGCAGCAGCAGCAGCAGCAGCAGCAGCAGCAGCAGCAGCAGCAGCAGCAGCAGCAGCAGCAGCAGCAGCAGCAGCAGCAGCAGCAGCAGCAGCAGCAGCAGCAGCAGCAGCAGCAAATGCAGAGGCAGAATAATAATGATAAGCAGCATATTCAGGTTGAGCAACAGAAAAATACCTCTAGAGAGTTGAAGAGACAAGTGAGTGGCAGCAGTCGGTACGCAACACAGAAGAATCGTGACTGGGACTCCTTCAACCAGTTCCTGCAGCACCATCAGCCCCCAGTTCCGCTTGCAGAGTGTACACCCACACACGTTATAACCTTTCTACAGTATTTCAACAAATTTGGTAGGACTAGAATTCACCAGGTGGGAGGATGTGACCTCTATGGAACCAACTCCCCTATGGATGCATGTGCCTGCCCTTTAAGGCAGACCTGGAGTAGTGCTGATTCGTTAGTAGGAAGGTTGAGGGTGGCTTATAACGAAAGAGTGACAGGAGCTAGCGGAGGAAGAGGAGGCACCAGGGCAGAGGCAGAGGTGGGTGGGGAAGAAGTGTTAGTAGGGAGTGGGAGCACTGGTGTGACTAGGTCACTGAGGTGCGAGGATAGTCCGTTTGACCATGGGATGGTTAGGCAATATCTAAAGACACTGAAAGAAGAGGAGGAGGAGGCAAGGGGAGTGCAGTTGAGGAAGAAGAGGAAAGCATTTGTCTAATATGGGCGCCATATGGTGAATCAGAGGGGTCTACATATTTATAAATATTGAAAAACCAGATAGCAATTTATATAGACACATCTTAATTTCTGTTGGAAGTGTGTAATTATGAGGTGAATTGAAAGCACTGGCTTGTGAAGGAGGGCCTATTTTCTATTCTAACAATTACAACACACCCAACAAAGAACGTTGTCCCACAATTGTCAAGCAAAGAATACATAAACCTCCACATGCCCCTTTGTATGTACGAACCAAATATCGAATTGTACTTGATTTAGAATGGCATGATATCGTCATATTTTGTTATGAAAAGGGGTAACAAGCTTCGAATCGCGTCCAGTATTAGCCACCAATAGCAATATAATTTTGAGTTTTCAGCATCTATGAAGAGAAGGAATTTGTGGTGGGTGGGAGGTGCAGGTGAGTTGGACGTGGCTGAAAGCCCCACCCACGACAACCACCAAAGAAATCTTTCCCGTGGCACCATGTTCCGCTTGACTGGAACCGCCACCCTCAACAATCACGATGTGTCAATCCAGTTGAAGGCATGTTTGACCCTGCTGCACTTACAGCAATACACTGTATCATCGACTGTACTTCATGATGAAATCATCCCTAAACTTTAAATCCATGCCTTCAAAAAACGCAGGATGAGGATTAACTCAGGTGGTGGTTTGCGGATGTTCCCTGCACAAAGGATTAGGGACGAGGGAAGAAGTTTGTGACATCGCTGGAACAACAATGCTATTTCAAAAACAGTGCAACACATACACTTTTTGCTGTCAGCGTGCAGATGCCTTCTTACTTGAAGCACGCCTAGTACTGCTGGTGCACCCTCGCATGGAACGAACAGTTGGCAGAGACATCCAACGACTCATCTCTGTGATGCAGCCCTCTAGGGATGACTGTCGGCACGATCTTCATGTCGGTGAACTTTTACTACTCTTCCGCCGTGAGATGTCCTCGATACGGATTGAGGACCAGCATCGTGCTCCATGCGCTCACTCCGAACCTTGGCTTGATGAAGGGCTTCAAGCCCTCATTGAGCCACCAAATAACGCCTTCAAAGGTTTAGGGATGGGGGAAGCAGTTAGTGGCATCACTAGAACAACAATGCTAGTTCAATCGCAATGCAACACACTCACATTTCGTTGTCGGCATGTATATGCCTTCTTACTCGAACCGCGCCAGGACTTGCTAGCGTACACTCACCTTGAACGAACGGTTGATATAGATATCCAACAGTTGCGCCTCCGCCATGCAGCCTTCAGGGATGACTGCCGGCACGATCTTCATATTGGCGAATTTCTGCTTCACCTCCGCCACGAGATGTCTTCGATATGAATCGCGGACCAGCTTCGCGCTCCGTACGTGCACTCCAAACCTCGGCTTGATGAATGGTTTCAAGCCCTCGTCGAGCCAGTGGATAACGCCTTGGCATCGATCCAGCCATTGGGCTGAACGCCTTAGCGATGCAAAGCGCACCGTGGTTACGTAAAAAATAAATGCAGACATCTATTTGCAACAACAAGAAACGCCATACACAAACAGATGCTGCTCACTTGATGGGAAATCACCCTCTGGAACTCGGGCTTACTTGAAAAACACCCACGGTTTCAGTTTCTTGCCCGTCGCTGTGCACGCCAGCATGGCCGTAACGTGTTCTTATAGATATTTCCCGCCTCTGATTGTCACCGATGTAGACCCGAATTTTTCAACGTTGCAGTCTGCATGCATCTCAAGCCATAGGGGTGTCTGGTCGGCGTCGATTATCCACCGCAAGTCGATGTCGTATTCCCGGCGCTTGCCTTGGACAAAAGGCCAAAAGCCTTTCACCTGCTCCTCACAATCTTCAAATGGGGATGGATAAGAGCACACAACGGGCATAAAAGACAAATTATTAAATGAATAAAAAAAAACATCAAAATCAAACAAATTTGTATATAATACGGTAGTGGTGAAGTCAGATGAAGAAGGCCACTTACGATAGGAAAGCTCCTGCATGACTTCCGTCTCGGCGAAGACGCTCAAATTACACTGTCGCCGAAATTGCTATGACCACCGTTGCGACCCCTTCCACGCCACCTCTGGGTGCAGCTCCTTCATCATCTCCCGGGACCATCTGTGTAATCTACCGATAGACACGCCGATACCTTTGCGCCAAAAAATGATAAGGTTGGAGTATAGCTTGAGCTTCGTGTCATGATACCATGAGGATCTGCCCTGCCTATGTAAACCCGTCCATACGGCATGAGCGCCTTTGAGTAGCGCTGCGCTCTTCTTCCACTCCCCCAGTTACTTGCGGTGGATGCCCAACTCTTGTGACACCTCACTCTCCACCTTCATGGCCTCCAGACGCACAAGCCACTTGATTTTTTCTTGTGACGTGTACGCATGTCACTTTCTCTGCGTCGGGTTGTTCCTAGGAGAAGGGGGGCGGGAGTCACGATTCTCAGTAGTGGGGTGGGGACGCTTTCGTAAGGCGGTTGGTAAAGTGGAATCGGTAGTTTCCCAAGTAAGCCATCGCGCGACCAATACTCGCCTGTGCCAACATCGTCCTCTGCGTCGATGACTGCCTTGTCCTACGGCCAGTTTACGAGCTTGCCCCAACGTCGTGCCAGTGTGTCCTCATACTGATCAGGAACCTTACTTAACTCGGGTTCCAAGACGAATTCATCGAACGCGGAGACGCTTGGCAGTAAGAGCGTGAGAACGAGTTGATTGCTGCCCGCGGATGGAGCTGGCGGATTCAGAGGAGCAAGAGGAGCAGGAGGCGCTGGAGGAGCAGGAGGGGCAGGGGGTGCAAGCGACACTAGTGGTAGTGGTGGCTCAGGTGCCGTACGGCTAAACCAATCGTCATCAGCAACTCCAAACGAGGCTCTAGGAGGGCGTCTAAGGAGAAAGTGTGTGCCTTGCGAATTAGCCATGGCTTTCGCAACCAGGCGAGAGGGAGAAAGATTTACGAAAGGAGTTAAGAAAGGGTGCACAATTGGGCCACCAGTAAAGACCCCGCTTGTGAGGCGGCTCATAATCCACGTCGATGATCGACGAGATCCCTTTGCCAACACATGCAGAGGAGCATGCGCGACACGGATTCTGCTACGCTGGCGAGAAATATTCTCCCTGTTCTAGAACCGACCGAAACAAAATCCCCAAACTGGTTGCGCATGACCATGTGATTGGGCCGCAAGGCAAGTTCCTACTCAGTGTTAGCAGGAGGGATGCATCTAGAAGCATCTTAATAGCAGCAATTCGTTTGCTGGCTGATTGCTAACTTTCAAGCACACGCCCACGTGATGTTGATTTGGCCATGTTCGCAATATATAGAGCTTCCATTATGAAAGAAAGAAAGAAAAAACAAACATGTTTTAGTTATCGTGTTAAAAGCGCATGGGCTTATTTTCTACTTGATTAGAAGTGTACTATCTAAAAGAATGTGCTTATATCCAGGGTAACACGTTGTTACACGAAAAAAAAACACCTAACAATTCACCCACCCCCTTGTTTTCCATGAATTTTAGGCAGCACCCGGGGTCTACTATATGGTTACAACATTTGGGTGCTTGCTCGCCCTGACCCTTATCCATTAGTTTTGTAAGGAATTCTAATTTCTTCCAGTAGACTGATATTATTGGGTACGTTCCGAAGGTCTCAATGCAGTTGGGTTCGGCCTACAATTTCGTCCCAATCCCAAACCACTCTCGAGATGCCACCACACCATTCGCCACATTTCCGAGCCTCGTTTAGCTTGAGGTCCTCGCCTAGCCCGTTTGTGCCTATTTTAGACTCGTTTGTAAGCTTTCATACGACATTCTGTATTTGCGACCTAGAGACTAGAGTGCATTTCAGCTCATTTGTGAAACTCGCACTCAGGGTACATTCCGCTCTGGACACTTTCTCAAAGAAAGTGTCCGAATCACTTTTTGCCCGAGTCGCCCTCAAATGTCGCGGAACCTCATGTCCCAATCAATAAATGTACTGCAACCCTGCACGACCGCGCGACAATTATACGAGAAGGGCTGTGATTGGTCCTTCGCGTGAGTGGACCACTCATTGTGACAAGGTTGGCGAAAGTGTACTGGGTCACGGTGGGAGATATGCGAGGAAGCCCTGATTGACCAATCACGCTTCAGTGTACGCGTTGGATGGGAAAAAACGAATACCTAGTAAAATCATGACCAGGTACATGCAGAGGGGATAGACATTTGGAACCGCGTGCGATGGCAGGTCATTGTCACGCTGGTGTTCAAATAGCCCGCGACAGTTCCGTGGTTCACGCCAGCCAATCGGAAAAACGTTTTGCGACTTTGATGCGCGGTTCGAAATTCCGACACATGGCAGCATATGCTGTACATACGCGTCACAATCGATTCGGACACTTTCTTTGAGAAAGTGTCCACAGCGGAATGTACCCTCATAACAAGTTCCTTCATGTACCGTAGCATTCACATCACATTACAATGCGTACACCGCAGTCACATCAAGGAACAACCAAGTGTAACAAGTACCGGTAAATAAGTGCCCGTTCCAGCAGTGGCTTTCAGTGTGCCTTTCAGGGTGTCCCAGCCCAACACAGGGGAACATTCTAGTGAGGAGTGTCTGAATACTGCTGAATCATTCAACCGCCACTGCTCATCATCAGCAGCAGGACCAACGAGTACCATCTGGTGGTTACCACACTCCCTTGATGTTTGCCTCCCTCCTCGCTCATCCTCATCCCCTCTCCCCCTCCTCTCGCTCTCACTGTTGCCCCCATCCCATCCCCACCATCACCCCTCCCACCCCTTCCGCCACCACTGCCACCACCACTACTGCCACTGTCTGCCCTGTGCTGTGCTCCCGCTGCGTTTTGTGCCCATCTCCCTCATTTTCACTTCCATCCGCCCTTCCACCACCACCCCTCTCCCCCTGTCCACCAACTCTGCCGATTCTCATATCTGGACCCATAACAACCGCTCAAAATCCCTGTATGTCACTCTGAACAGCTTTGAATCACGTGGAATCGGTCTGAACCGCTTGGAAACGTTTCAAATCACTCGGAATCGCTCTCAATAATCCCACGCCTGTGGCCTCTTCCTCCCCCTCCCCCCTCCCCCTCCCTCTCTCTCCTCATCACTCTCAAACCGCGCCCCTCCTTGCCTCCCTCCTCGCTCATCCTCCTCCCCTCTTCCCCTCATGTCGCTCTCACTCTCACTGTTACCCCCATCCCCACCACCACCCCTTCCACCCCTTCCACCCCTTCCGCCACCACCGCCACCACCACTACTGCCACTGTCTTCCCTGTGCTCCTGCTGCCTCCTCCGCCCGTCTCCCTCATCATCATCACTCCCATCCGCTCTCCCACCACCACCCCTCTCCCCCCTTCCCCCTCTCTCTCCCCTCTCCTCTCTCTCCTCACTCCCATACCTCCGCCTCTTCTCCCTCCTCTCCTCCTCATCTTCCTCCTCCTCCTCGTCTCTTCCCCTTCTCGCCCCCCTCCCTCTCCTTCCCTCGTGCTCCTCCTCCCCCTCATCATCCTCCTCACGTCTCCGCCTCTCCCTTCCCCCATCCTCCTCCTCTGCGTCTTCCCCTGATCGGTTCCGTACTGTGATCTGGTGGAAGGGAGGGAGCAGCAAGTGTGCAGAGAAGGGAACATACGTGCAAGACACTTAAGAGAATTCTCAAAAAGCATCTCTCATCATCCTCCTCTGCGTCTTCCCCTGATCGGTTCCGTACTGTGATCTGATGGAAGGGAGGGAGCAGCAAGTGTGCAGAGAAGGGAACATACATGCAAGACACTTAAGAGAATTCTCAAAAGCAATCTCTCATCCTCCTCCTCTGCGTCTTCCCCTGATCGGTTTCGCACTATCTGATGGAAGGGTGGGAGCAGCAAGTGTGCAAAAAAGGGGGGCACTGGTATATACCCAGATGCTTATAATTTTTGTGCCAGAATCCATCAGAATGTGCCTACCTCGCAAACGCTCTCCTGCACAAACCTGTTACTGATGCATTAAAAAAAAAAAAAACAACTCAGTCTGGCCGGCAAGCACAGCATTTGGGCAAGAAGCACAACATATGGGCGGCAAGCACAATGAAATACCTTGGAGGGAACGGGCAACTCCACTCTCTCTCCCTCCTCGCCCTTCGCCTTGCCTCCCTCCTTGGCCTTTCTCTTTGCCACTGTGAGCTTCGTGTTGATTGGCTGGGGGAACATGAGGGGACAGGAGCATGATGAGAGGGCGCAGAGAAAGAAACGAGATCAGTGGAAAGAAAGCATTATTCTTTCTGCAATAAGCATCAACATGCATCTTATCTTTGCATTGTAGGCACATCCATGCACAATGGAAGGTTTGACCCAGGAGTTGACTCGCAATAAAGGTTTTGACCCAGGAGTTGACTCACAATACAGGGTTTGACCCAGGAGTTGACTCACAATACAAAGTTTGACCCAGGAGTTGACTCACGAGGTAATTCACACTGTCCTTGTTGAAACAGAAGAGGAAGGTTCCTCGACCTTGCTCCCCCTTGGCCACCTGAGAGAGAGAGAGTGAGAACCAGGTGGAGCGTAACAGTGAAGGGGTGGAGACGGGTTGGGTTGGGTTGAGGGGAAAAAAGTTCCTCGCCCTGGGTCCCCTTTAGCCACCTGGGAGAACAAGAGTGAGAAAAACGTGAAGAGTAAGTGGAGGTCTGGGGTCCAGACGGGTTGAAGGGGCGGAGCAAAATGCGGAAAGAATACCGCAAGCGGAAAAATACTAGCCTTCAGTTTACACTGAGTGAGGCTGAAGCAGAAAAACGAGTCAAAACGCAAGCACGCACTCACTTCACCTAATCTCTAAAAGAGATAATTGCATGTATGATCCATACCTTCCAGTGGTATTCTCGCACCCAGTCATACCGAGCACTCTCCCCTTCCCTCAGCTTCCTCCCCAGCTGCATTCAGAGGCGACGGATGGGGAAGAAAGGCGGGAATAGTTAAAAAGAAGCACGTGCAGGTTAGCAAAGTTACAATACAACAACTGTACGGAATACACTGAACGCACGTCGCACGATGGGCCTAAACCATCGCAGGATTCGTTCCACTTCACTGTGCACCTGTTTTTGAGACGTCTCAAAAGTTGTTTTTGAGACGATTCAAAAGTTGTTTTTGAGACGTCTCAAAAGTCGCACGATGGGCCTAAACCATCGCAGGATTCGTTCCACTTCACGTGAAAAAAGGAGTGGTTTGAGACGTCTCAAAATGCTCCTTTTTTCACGTTCGTTCCACTTCACAGGTGCACCTGTTGAGACCCTAGGACCTAAACCATGTGGGACATGAACGACTGTCTCTCTGCTCTCCCCCCCTCTTTTGCAGGAGCCTCAACTGTTAGGACCACGACAACCTCAGTCAAACTCAGTCAACCTCAGTTAACTTCTGTCAAACTCAGTCAACCTCAGTCAACCTCTGTCAAACTCAGTCAACCTCAGTCAACTCACCTCGCGCTTGTTGGGCACCATGTAGGCCACAAACGACTGTGGCTCCCCTCCCCCTCCACGGTGAGAGTGTGGCTCACCTCACTCAACCTCACTCAATCTCTCACCTCGCGCTTGTTGGGAACCATGTAGGCCACAAACGACTGTGGCTCCCCTCCCCCCGGTGCTGCCACCTTGAAATTCTTCATGATCGCCTGGAGATGGGGGGAGAGGGAGGAAAAGGCGCCGGAGGGAGGCAGGGAGGGAGGCAAGGCGAGGGACAAAGGCAGGGGAGGATGCACAGAGGAAGGCCAGGGAGGAAGGGATGGAGGAAATGAAATGGATGGGCGCATGTGTGATGGTGCGTGTACGAGACAAAGCAGAACTCCCCTCCCTCTCGAAGAGTCACTCGCCCGGGCCTCCATCTCTTTCTTCTCCACCCCCTCCCATTCCCTCCCATCCCATTTCATTCCACCTTGCACCAAATTCCCTGGAGAAAACCCCATTCCACCCCAAGACTGCAGACTCACCCGCGCCTCCATTTCTTTCTTCTGCTCCTCCTTCAAGTGCATGTGTGCAGGCGAATCCGCAAGAGGCGTGTCGTCAAACACGAGGTGCACAAACTGGCGGCCCGCCAGGGAGAAGAGCGGCAGCACCGGCAGCACCTCCACTGCCTCCAGGCTCGGGTTCGATGGGTGCACGGGCGGCTTCCGGGCAGCACCCATCATTCCATTCCCCCACCCACCGTGCAACATACCATTGACTACCCTGCTGCCCCACACGCACTCACCCTGGCCTCCATTTCCTTCTTCTGCTCCTCCTTCAGATGCATGTGTGCAGGCGAATCCGCAAGAGGCGTGTCGTCAAACACGAGGTGCACAAACTGGCGGCCCGCCAGGGAGAACAGCGGCAGCACCGGCAACACCTCCACTGCCTCCAGGCTCGGGTTTGACGGGTGCACGGGCGGCTTCCGGGCAGCCTGAAAAGATTCCTCGATGTACCGGATCTGCCCCTCCCTGCGAGGGGTGGGAAAAAGTGTAGGGAGGAGAGAGTGTTTGCAAGCATTGCAGGCAAGAAATCAATTTGAGTCAGGTTGAGTCGAGTGGAAAGGCAGGTGAAGGAAAAAGGGGAATGAATACGTGGACTAAGCCTGTAAAAACGAATACGAATACGAATACGAATATTTTTTCTCCCTATTCTCCGAATAATGCGTTGTTTCTTATTTGACCGAATACTGGCCCAAACTCGAATACGAATACGATACGAATACTGACCCAAAACCGAATACGAATACGATTCGAATACTGCCGAATCCGAATCGAATATGATTAAATTTCGAATACAGAAATCCTTGTAGAGGCAGTGTCGACACAGGGTGATACAATGTACCTTATACTACCAACACCACGACCCTCTCCAGCTACTTTCTTGCACAGCTCTCACACGACCTCTGGTACACAGACAGCCTCATGTAGGGAAAGTACGAGGGGGGGGGTTAATGATAGAATACCGAATAGTAACGAATACCTCGAATATTCGTTACCCGAATATTCTACATTCACGAATACCCGTGATGCGAATATTTTCGAATACATGGTCGTTTCTTATTCTCTCGAATTCAGGTATTCGAACGAATATCGAATAGTTCTCGAATACCGAATATTCTTTTACAGGCTTAACGTGGACTTGTTCATGCCCTATGTATATTTCATAAAACAATAACTTCTTTTCCATAAACATATGTAAACATGCATACAAATACATGTACACTCACCTTGTACTGTACATCTGCTCATCTGCCAACTCCAGCTGCAGCGCCAGCAGCTTCGCCTCCTTCTCATTAAGCACCCTCTGTACAGGCACACACACGAGTGAGAAGGGTGGGGACAAAAACAGCAAGCGGAGTGACAAATCGGGGCAATGGGAGCAGTGAAAAGAGTCAAGGTCAGCCCAGCACAGGCGATGGGAAAGAGTCAAGCTCACCCTCTGTACAGGCACACACGAGTGAGAGGAGTGAGAAATCGGGGGAATGGGAGCAGGGGAAAGAGTCAAGGTCAGCCCAGCACAGGCGATGGGAAAAAGTCAAGCTCAGCCCAGCACAGGCAATGGGAAAGAGTCAAGCTCAGCCCAGCACAGGCATCCCAGCCTGGTTCACACCAGTTCAATTCAGAATCCACAGACCAGCCATGGACTCACCTTCTTAGGCGCACTGCCAGAGCCAGCAGCGGAGATGTACTGAGTGTGCACCAGCCAGCTCAGCCCAGCTCAGCCCAGCTCAACCCAGCTCAGCCCAGCTCAGCCCAGCGCAACCCCCCAGTGGATTAGGTGTCCTTGCCTCAAATCGCATGCCCAGCCCAACAGGAACACGCCCACCTTCTTAGGAGCACTGCCAGAGCCTGCAGCGGAGATGTACTGAGTGTGCACGAGCCAGCTCAGCACAGCTCAGCCCAGCTCAGCCCAGCGTCTGTAGGCCTCTCCTTCACTCTCAGCGCGCCCGTCCCACCCGCCCCCCCTGCTGCCGCCCCCCTGGCCTCCCTCCCTCCCCAAACCAACACTCACCTTCTTGGGAGCACTGCCAGAGCCTGCAGCGGAGATGTACTGAGAGTGCACGAGCCAGCTCAGCCCAGCTCAACCCAACACAGGTCAGTTCACATCACACCATTCAACCCAGCAGCACCTGCCTGCCATGCCATGGACTCACCTTCTTGGGAGCACTGCCAGAGCCAGCAGCGGAGATGTACTGAGTGTGCACGAGCCAGCTCAGCCCAGCTCAACCCAACACAGGTCAGTTCACATCACACCATTCAACCCAGCAGCACCTGCCTGCCATGCCATGGACTCACCTTCTTGGGAGCACTGCCAGAGCCAGCAGCGGAGATGTACTGAGTGTGCACGAGCCAGCTCAGCCCAGCATCAGTAGGTCTCTCCTTCACTCGCAACGCACCCGCCCCCCCTGCTGCTGCCCCCGCGCCCTCCCTGTGCTTCACACTCGCATCATCGTCCCTCAGGAGTTCCGCGTCTGCCGGGTGGAGTGGTGGGCGCTGAGAGGGGGGCGGGGCGCTGGGACGGGGTGAAGAGGCAACAGAGGGGAAGGAGGGGGAGGGGCTTTTGAGATGTCTCAAAAATAACCTCTATACACGTGTCTGCCGGGTGGAGTGGTGGGCGCTGAGAGGGGGGCGGGGCGCTGGGACGGGGTGAAGAGGCAACAGAGGGGAAGGAGGGGGAGGGGCTTTTGAGATGTCTCAAAAATAACCTCTATACACGTGTCTGCCGGGTGGAGTGGTGGGCGCTGAGAGGGGGGCGGGGCGCTGGGACGGGGTGAAGAGGCAACAGAGGGGAAGGAGGGGGAGGGGCTTTTGAGATGTCTCAAAAATAACCTCTATACACGTGTCTGCCGGGTGGAGTGGTGGGCGCTGAGAGGGGGGCGGGGCCCTGGGACGTGGTGAAGTGGACGGAAGAGCACAGGGGGGGGAAAGGGGGCGCTGAGAGCGGGGCGGGGCGCTGAGAGGGGGGCGGGGCGCTGGGTGAATGGGCGATGGTCAGAGCACAGGGGGAAAGGGGAAGGAAGGGGTAAGGGGAAGCCTCAAAAGAAGCCCGGCGGCTGCCCCTGCGCCCTCCCTGTGCTTCACACTCGCATCATCGTCCCTCAGGAGTTCCGCGTCTGCCGGGTGGAGTGGTGGGCGCTGAGAGGGGGGCGGGGCGCTGGGACGGGGTGAAGAGGCAACAGAGGGGAAGGAGGGGGAGGGGCTTTTGAGATGTCTCAAAAATAACCTCTATACACGTGTCTGCCGGGTGGAGTGGTGGGCGCTGAGAGGGGGGCGGGGCCCTGGGACGTGGTGAAGTGGACGGAAGAGCACAGGGGGGGGAAAGGGGGCGCTGAGAGCGGGGCGGGGCGCTGAGAGGGGGGCGGGGCGCTGGGTGAATGGGCGATGGTCAGAGCACAGGGGGAAAGGGGAAGGAAGGGGTAAGGGGAAGCCTCAAAAGAAGCCCCGCGGCTGCCCCTGCGCCCTCCCTGTGCTTCACACTCGCATCATCGTCCCTCAGGAGTTCCGCGTCTGCCGGGTGGAGTGGTGGGCGCTGAGAGGGGGGCGGGGCGCTGGGACGGGGTGAAGAGGCAACAGAGGGGAAGGAGGGGGAGGGGCTTTTGAGATGTCTCAAAAATAACCTCTATACACGTGTCTGCCGGGTGGAGTGGTGGGCGCTGAGAGGGGGGCGGGGCCCTGGGACGTGGTGAAGTGGACGGAAGAGCACAGGGGGGGGAAAGGGGGCGCTGAGAGCGGGGCGGGGCGCTGAGAGGGGGGCGGGGCGCTGGGTGAATGGGCGATGGTCAGAGCACAGGGGGAAAGGGGAAGGAAGGGGTAAGGGGAAGCCTCAAAAGAAGCCCGGCGGCTGCCCCTGCGCCCTCCCTGTGCTTCACACTCGCATCATCGTCCCTCAGGAGTTCCGCGTCTGCCGGGTGGAGTGGTGGGCGCTGAGAGGGGGGCGGGGCGCTGGGACGGGGTGAAGAGGCAACAGAGGGGAAGGAGGGGGAGGGGCTTTTGAGACGTCTCAAAAGTAACCTCTATACACGTGTCTGCCGGGTGGAGTGGTGGGCGCTGAGAGGGGGGCGGGGCGCTGGGGTGAGGGAAGAGAGGGGACGGGAAGGGGGCACAGGGGGAAGAAGGGCACAGGGGGGGAAGGATGAGGGAAAAATGCGCCTCAAAAGGGCGCTGAGAGAGGGGCGGGGCGCTGGGGTGAGGGACGAGAGGGGACGGCATTGGCCTCTGTGAAAGAGGCACTTCGACAGGGTATAATCCCCTGTCCTAAAAAAAAAAAAAAAAGAGGCATAGGGGAAGGGGCAGGATGAGGGCACAGGGAAGGGCATTGGTTTGGTTGTAAAGGGGGAAGCAGAACAGAAGAATCTGGCGTGGCGGTGTGAGGAGGAAATGTGACTGCAACGGCTCACCAGTAAGCGGATAGGTCGAAAAGGTCAGGGGGATATCCAGGTCTGGCTGCACGTGCAGGCAGTGGGGGTGATCCGCCTCAAGAGTCGACACGTGGTAGGCGGAGTACCGGTGGGGAGTGCACACGTGTGAATGGAAATAACTAACCAGTAGGTGGATAAGTCGAGCAGGTCAAGCGGAATCCCAAGGTCCGGCTCCACATGCAATCGGTGCCGGTGATCCGCCTCTAGAGTCGACACGTGGTAGGCGGAGTATCGGTGTGGGTCCATACCATACATGTGTGTGCTTATACACCCACGCGTGACTGTGCCTACTCCTTACCAGTAGGCGGATAGGTCGAGCAGGTCCAATGGGATCCCTAAATCCGGCTCCACGTGCAGGCGATGCCGGTGGTCCGCCTCTAGAGTCGACACGTGGTAGGCCGAGTAGCGGTGTGGGTCCCCCCCCAGAGGCAGCAGCTTCGGCTGTGATGCTGGCTCGGGCAGGGTATTAGTGAACCTGAGGAAGGGAAGGAGGAGGGGGGTGAGTTGGGGAAGGTAGTGGGGGAGATAGAGAGTGTGAGGCGGAGTATCGGTGGGGGTCCCCCCCGAGAGGCAGCGGCTTCGGCTGTGAGTGATGCTGGCTCTGGTAGGCTGTTGGTGAACCTGCGAAGAGGGTAAACCATGGGGAAAGAGTGGGGGAGCGTGGGGGAGTGGGGGAGCGTGGGAGAGCGGTTGAGTATGAAAAGAGTGGGTGAATGTTGGGAAGTGTTGGGAAGAATTGGGAAGTGTGGGGGAAGGTGGGGAAATGTGCTAAAAGGAGGAACAGTGGGGTATGAGGGGGGATATTGGAGAAGCCCTTTAATAAACCCCTGGCCCTCACAACCCTCTCCACCACATCCCACCGCACTCCCCTCCCTCGCACCTCACTCTACACAGGAACGTCGACGGCCGTTTCAACCGGTTCTCGTCCTTAGCCCCCCCTGCTGCTGCGCCTGCTGCGCCGCTTCCCCCAACAGCTGCTCCCGCGGACGCGTCCCTACCCCGCGCGGGGACCAGCGCCCCGCTTCCCCCAACCCCCCCGCCCGCGTGGCTGCTCTTCCCCACAGCCTGCGCATGCGCGGAGTGCCTGTGCTTCTCCCCCTGCTGCTGCTGCTGCTGCTGCTGCTGCTGCTGCTGCTGCTGCTGGTGATGCTGCTGTTGGTGTTGGTGCTGTTGCAGCTGGTGCTGCTGACTGTGCGGCTGTGATCCTGGTTGTGACGGCTTCTGCTGGTGATGCTGTGACTGTTGCGAGTGGTGACTATGCTGGTGCCTGTCTCTCCGCCCGCCGTCTCCCCCATCCCCGCCAGCTCCGCGCTTGTCTCTCCGCCCATCCCCCCCTGCATGCCGGCCCTTCTCCGCCGACGGAGGATGCGGGCCGGAAGGGGGTGGCGGAAGTGCGAGAGTCCCCGAGCCGGATGGGGGAGGCGGGGGAGGCGGAAGCGCGGAATGCGCGGGTGGGAAGGGCGGGGGAGGGGGCAACGGGGGATCGGACGTGGGGGGAGGCGGGGGAGGAGGTGCTGGTTGGTGGGAGCCGGAGGGGGGAGGGGGGAACGGCGGAGGAGGGGGAAGCGGAAGTTCTCCGCTGGTGGGCGGAGGAGGCGGAGGCGGAAGGGGAAGCGACTGATTAGGAGCGTAAGCAGAATTAGGAGCAGAATAGGACGATGCATTATGTGCGTTGGCGGCTCCGTATGGGTTGCCTGAATACGGCCCGGATGCTGGAAGCATGCCAGGTGGGGGACCAGGCGGAGGTCCAGGTGGCATTCCTGGATTGGTTAGATGCTGGGTATGCGCTCCAGAGCTCATACTGACACCGCTACCAGTAGTATCCCTTATAAGCTGACTCAACTTCGAGTGGTACGACAGCTAATAGTAGGAAACGAGATGTATTGGTCCAGATTGATAGTCTCCTCGAACTCCTCGATACTAACTACGAAACCACGGCAACTGGCCACGAGGGAAACTTTTGAGTCGACTCAAGAGTGCACGTGGCATTATCCTGAGCTATTTGTACCCCGAGTCTCGTGGCGACTGGATTGATCCTAATTCGTGAGCGTGGATTATAACGAGGACAAAGCAATCTCCTTGTATTTGGACTGCGCCGACCGGAACGTACCCGCCGCTAAGATTTAAGATCGCTAAAGGTAAGTCCGTCTGGGCAAGCTGAATCAACGCGCAAGAAATCTAGGTCTACATGCTAGCATGCGGTCTGCTTTACAGAGTCACTGAAGTTGCGCTTTATGCTTTCTATCCGGTCAATAACGGTTGAGTGCATTGCTGTGCACAATCAGGCTTCGCTTTAGTTTGACCGCTTTGAACCGCTGTGCACCTGTGAACAAACTAATGACAGTTTCTCCTAAACAAAATCAAGATCAGGTCTTGGGAACACCGAGGCGGGACTCAATACAGAGAAAAACAGAAGTGAATGTTTGCATATATATATATATATTGGACATATCAAGTAGGTATCCGTCCACTCCTGCTGCGGGTGCGGTAAGAGAAGCATAAGTGCACTTCACAATGTTTACAAGATATGTTAGAAACCAAACAAGCAAAATCATAGCAATTCTTTCGCCCTCATAAGCTCAAACGGGAGCTACCGCCATGCTACTCCACAAACCCAACACCTTAGAAACACTTTTCCCCTTCTGCGAACCATTATCCTGACCAGCAGCACCCGCATTGGCAGCAGCAGCAGCAGTGGCGACAGCCTTTAACCTTGCCTGTTCCGCAATATTCCTCGCTTCAATGTTTGTTGCCTCCACACACAGGTCATGGAAGAGACCTCGCATTTGGGCTGTTATGATGTACCCCAATATGTACTGGGCTGTTAGAATGCATGAGAAAGGGGGCAGCACGGAAGGAAAATAGAAGACAAGGATGAAGCCTGGGATATACAAAGTTACAAGGACTAGAAAGTTGCAAGGGAAGCAACTGAGTGTGCACTCATACTCACTCCGGCAGAAGCACATGAATGCTGGGGCGCAGTGCAACAACCACATGAGGAGTGGAGCGAGCATAGGTAGAAGCAATGGGGCACGCACGCACACTTGGGGGCAGGCAGGGGAGGCAGGGCACTCACTCAAAGGACCAAGCGGCAAGTTGGATGGTTCGACCCTCTGGACGATCTCGATCTCCGACCCACAATCCGACGGTCCACATTTCACCAGCTCCGAAGCACCACCTGCAGACACGCCACCCTTCCACTGAACGACCCCTCCTATTTTAGCTCCTCCTCCCATGCTCCCTACTGCTCCTCCTGTTCCTGCTCCTGCTGCTACTGGTGCTCCTACTGCTCCTGCTGCCGCAACCATGGGCACAGCACCAGCAGCTCCATCACCCATCCTTGGCCATCCACCCATAATCCCCCCTCCTACCCCCTCGCCTTCGATCCGAGGCTCGCCCACAGCCACTCGGCCGAACGCCAGCAGCTGAGCAGGGAAGCGGCCGAGGGGAATCGCCTGCTGAAGCTGTAGCAGCCGCTGCTGTAGCGGGAGGCGCGGCTGTAGCGGCTTCATCTGTAGCGCCGGATGCAAGGACTTAGGCTGAGGTGCATGGGGCTGTAGCTCTGGCTGTAGCAGAGGCTGGGGGCGGCTGATAGCGCGTGTGCCGGGAACGGTGAGAGGCAGGGAGGAGGAGGAGGATGGTGGGGCGTGAGGGAGGGAAAGGCTGCGGATGGTTGATGTGCCGACAAAATCTTTCATGAATCCAGGAGATGCCCTGCGAGCGAGAGAGAGAGAGAGAGCGAGAGAGAGAGAGAGAGAGCGAGAGCGAGAGAGAGAGAGAGAGAGAGAGAGAGAGAGAGAGAGAGAGAGAGAGAGAGGGAGAGAGAGAGGGAGAGAGGGCGAGAGAGAGGGAGAGAGGGCGAGAGAGAGAGAGGGAGAGAGAGAGAGAGAGAGGGAGAGAGAGAGGGAGAGAGGGCGAGAGAAAGAGAGAGAGAGAGAGAGAGAGAGAGAGAGCGAGAGAGAGAGAGGGAGAGAGAGAGAGAGAGAGAGAGAGAGAGAGAGAGAGAGAGAGAGAGAGAGAGAGAGAGAGAGAGAGAGAGAGAGAGAGAGAGCGAGAGAGAGCGAGAGAGAGCGAGAGAGAGCGAGAGAGGGCGAGAGAGGGCGAGAGAGGGCGAGAGAGAGAGAGAGGGCGAGAGAGGGCGAGAGAGAGAGAGAGAGGGCGAGAGAGGGCGAGAGAGCGAGAGAGCGAGAGAGAGAGCGAGAGAGAGAGCGAGAGAGAGAGCGAGAGAGAGAGAGAGAGAGAGAGAGAGAGAGAGAGAGAGAGAGAGAGAGAGAGAGAGAGAGAGGAAGGGAGGAAGGGAGGGGAAAGGAGACATGGAAACGGAAAGCGGAGTGAGGTTATGATCGGAGTTGTTTCTAAAAAGAAAAAGAAAAGAAAGAAAGAAAAAAAAAACTTGCAATTGAAGCAAATGAGACTGGTGCAGCCGACAAATCATCTGGAACTTCCAGACGAAAGTGCGGGCCCAATTTTACGCACATGCGGAACTCACAGTCGGTACGTGATAGTGCGCGTCGCGTCGTCGCAGTGGCAATAGAGCGCCAGGTCGAATTTCCCCGAGAACAGCTGGAACCGCCACTTGACGTTCTGCACGACGAGTAAGCTTCCGTCGGGCTGCGGCACGGAGGAGCACTTGTCCATGTGGCGGAAGATGGCGGGGCCGCGCTTGAAGTCGCGCAGGAGCCCGTAGATCACGCCTGGGGGGTGCCGGGATTTCATGCCCGCTGCTATGCGGTAGCTGTCCACTTTCCCCTCCTGGTGCGGGTGATGCAGGGGGGGGAGGCATGGGGGGAAGGCAGATGGGAAACATCTCTCCTGGAAACAACTCTCTCAAAATCCTCACCTCGGGTATCAGCTCGACGCGCATTGGTTCCACCAGCCCTTGAGTTTCACGACACATTGCGGTGGTTTTGAGGGAGTTCTCAAGGCCACCCCGCAACCTCGTGTCGACGACGTCGTGTGTAAAACGTTTTGCGACAAGCAGACGCGCACTGGCTCCAGCAGTCGTGGGAAGGAGACTGAGAAATAGCAAGGGGTAAAAAGAGCTTCGCGTAAGAGGGAAACATCGCTTCTGGAAACAACTCTATCAAGAGCCTCGTGTCAAGCGACCCTCACCTCGGGTATCAGCTCGATGCGCATCGGCTCCAGCAGTCCCGGCGTCGCCGCGAGTTCCGCCTGCACCGCATCTTCCGCTGTCGATGGCGCCGCGCGGTTTCCGCTCGACTGCGCCCATTTGCGGCGGCTTCGGCTCGAACTTCCCGCAGACGCCGCCGCGTCGGTCGCGGATGCTTTTCCTCCTTTACCGCCTCGCCGTTCTCCTGAAGAGCCCCCGCGAATGGTGGACGCTCGCTGGGCTGAGATGCGACTTTCTCCGTGGCCGTCAGTGCCGCCGGCAGCAGTTAACTTAACTGATCGCCGCTTGCTGGCGAAATCGCGTGTGCTGACGGTTTGAAACATCGTGAACGGCTGTCGCACGCTAGGCACTTGACTTACGGTCCCTCGGCTGCCTTACAGTCCGCGTAGTCTCCTTCGCCGAATGCAGGCGGAAAGGTCGTCGCCTTCGAATGCGGCGTCGAATTCGGAATGCGGCGGTGAGATGTCTGTATCAGCGCGAGTCGCAGCTGAGCTACCGACTTGGCGCTAGGCAGAACTAGCAGAATCAGTCAGTACTGAGAATCGCAATGTGGGAAAACCCGCGGCGCGGACGGAGGGAGGCAGACTGGCGGTCGAGGTGAGGATGGCAAGTACGGAGCGTGACAGCGAAAATGACAGCAACGGGAGCTTGCTGGGATAAGAAGTGATCGCTGTGAAAGTGCGGGAAGGGGTTGATGACGAAAAAGGAAGAACACTGGCGCAGTTTATTGGCCTCAGGATTGACGAGGTAGGGGGAGGGGAGATGAGGCGGGGCAGTTGAGTGGGAGAGGGAGGTGTATACAGCGGATGGATGGTTGGAGACAGACCAGACCAGACCCGACCGGACACCCCAAGAAAACGACGCACCGCGCGCGCTCACCGAGTTTCGCTAGCTGTCGCTAGTGCCGTCAGGGGTGAATTTCTCGAGGTTTTGTGTTGAGGGCAGGACAACGACGAGTAACCACTTCTGCGAAGTGAAAAAGTTTTGCAGTTTCTGGTTGACAGTTCGTGAGGTAGGGGGAAGCGTTCACACTTGCGGATATCATTTCTTGTCTCGTTCCGCAGCAGCCAACCACAAAGCCCTCGTGGCGTGGATGCGCGTGGTTGGGGGAAGGGGCTCCGAAAGCCCTGCAACCCTACATTCCCTCTTTTGCGGTGCGTCTGTGGCGTGCTACAATTGGTTATTAACTCATTTTAGACTTGTAGCCACAAATACCAACCAGAAACGGTGGGGCTGGAATCGCGGCTGGGGTTGTGTGGTCGTGCACGATGTAGGGCGGATGGCGTAGGTCGGCCGTACCCCTTTATACTGTTCTAGCTAGGGTTGACGCTAGCTATGACCCTTCTCGGATCTTGCTCGACTGACTCATTATGTGCCTCTCCGTCAAAGAAATAGCTCTACCTCACGTTGAATCGAGTGTTTTTGTGATAACCGTAAGGCCTTATTATACCAGCCCATGCCATTTCGTGAACCAGAAAATGTAGTGTAGCTTTGCTTCTCCAAATCCATGACCCCGCCAGCACAGCTAAATCAGACGTCCACATGTATTCTAGCCCAAATGTCATCAGACTGGCAGACAACCTAGTCAGCGTGACCTCTACCTGAAGTGTCAACACGACTCATTGCATGTCACCTCGGCAAAAGCTATGCTTGGTGGTGTAGGGGAAAGCCCAAACCAGGTCAGCACAAGACATCACGTCACCTACACGAAAGCGGAGCTGCTTGCTGCTGCTGCTGCTGCTGCTGTGGTGGAACCCTGAAACCGTGCATTCCCTAGGCAGACCGCAGCGCGTTCGAGTCATGGGCTGAAGCCTAGACAACACCATTTTCAACATGCCATGCTTCGGCCATGGCATGTGGAGGGTTCACAGGAATGCCCGAATAACAAGAACGGCATGTGAATGGAATTTGACCCCATCCGTTCACTTTACGATCTCTCGTGACATTATGATGCGACGCGCTTGTCAAAGCATGGGCCCTGATCGGTAGCCCGAGTCCCAAATTGCGAGGCGCGTGGGTCATGCTTTTAAAACTTGACGAAGTGCAGTGTGCAATCTTTGAAAAGTAGCGCACCTGCAATTTGGGACTTTCGGGTGCTGACACAACCCCCAGGGCGAAATACGTGGGCTGGCTGGTTTTGGCGAAAAAAACGAAATGCCCGAAATCGGAATCACTCGCCAAAGCCCAAAGCAGGAAAAACCCCTCGCGTCATCCTTTTAAAACTTGTGCAATTTGGGCTTCCGGCTGTCGCCTTGGCACACACATGTGGGCACGTGTCGGTGGGTGCTTCCCTTCTCCTCCTGTAAGTTTCCCAACTCCGAGGGGTGATCGGCACGCCCTCGAAACTCCGCTTAGGGAAGTTGCGAGGGTCGTGAGCGCGATTTCCCTCAACGCACTGTTGCGATCGGCCCAGACTGCCCCACTCGTGACCAAGAAAACAAATTCCCACAAAGGGGTAACTTAGCCAGAGAATGACAACATCAAGAACCACTGGGACCTGGGGAAATGAAAAAATTTGAAGATATTTGAGAGCTTCCCTGAAAACAGAAAGTAAAATTTAGAGTATTGTCGGGTTCACCCTTCGCGGGCTTAATCCGAGTAAGCGAGGCTTACTCTCACAAAAAGCCAGGGTCAGTGGAGTTCAGCCGCGGAGCTAAGTTTGCCCGTGAAGGAACCTTCCTGAATGGTCACTTCGAGTCGTACTCCGAGTAGGGTGTTCGGGCGATCGCTTGCCCATTCTGACTTACGCGGAGTAAGCCACGTCGGACTGAGTAAACTTCCGTCACACGTGCAAAGCGGGACTAAGGGAACTGCCTAGAAGCTCACTCTCCCGCTTAAGGGTGCTACCGATCAGGCACATGATCACACCGTGACGCCATCCGCCGTGGCAGCAACATGAGCGCGACAGCGCATTTCCCCGCAGCGGCGCGGAGTGCCACGCAGTGTCGCAAATTAGCGGGTAGCGACGGTGTTTGCTACGAGGAAGTTTCTCTTCGTTGGGCAAATGGTATCGGTTGGTATCGGTAGTTCTACGGAGCAGCGTACATAACCCGAGTGAGCAAACGCGAGGGAGGGAACGAGCAGCTGGAGCACGGGAGATGGTTTCACAAGGCGAGCCAGTCAGTTCGAGAGGATATAAGAGAGGAAGAAGGGGATAGACGAGAAACAGTTGAAACAGTCGAGCACTCTCATCCATACAAGCAAGGTCTTTTGCGTGATTTTCGTCACATATTCTTAATCTGCGACGGTTCTAGTATTACTAGGCTCTTGAGATACGCGGATACAAGAACCAAGGACAGTCCTAGAGCAGGCCTCTGAATATTCTGTTATATTTCAACCTTTCACCTCAGTCTTTTTAGCCTACTACTCGTAGCGAGAGACATAACATAAGTATCTCAATATTCTGGTGGTAACCACATGGCGTCTGCACACCACAGCTTTCGCAGCCTTTCGCTAGACTCGGGGTCGAAGCCCCCTGCCGTGCAGCAGGAGGCGAGTCGCGCCTTAGGTCTCTACGACGACCCTGGCGAGCTCCTTAATCCGCTGGACCAGGGCGCGTTCTTCAGCGCCGTGGCTGCTGGTAACGTGGACGGCGTCGCAGCGCTTCTGAAGCATAGGAAGGTTGACATTAACGAGTACAACGGACAGGTGCGCGGAAGGGAGGGAGGGAGGAGGGAGGGAGAGGAGAAAGAAAGGGGGACGAGTGAGGGAGAAAATGGGTGAGTGTGCCTGCGCTTTTGCAACATATCGTCGACATTAAAAAGTACCAGAAATATCCGCAGTGCTGCTGCTGCTGCGTCTACCGCGCTATGTAAGTTCATAATAAAACCATTGTGCTTCTACAACTCCTCCGTCCATTCTGTTTGTGCCTGTTGCCTCTCGTTCCCGTGTACAACTTTGAATTCTCCCGAACTGTGGCGCCATAGACCATGGCGCGAAGGTCACCGTGCGAGCGGTTAGAACTCACTTTCCCCCTTCCTCTCCTTCATACAACCCCCCCCCCCCCCCCCCCCCCCCCCCCCCCCCCCCCCCCTCCCCTCGTCTCGTCCCCAACCAGGGCGTGACAGCTATCTTTGTCGCAGTCTACAACTTCGAATCATCCCGCAGCGTCAGCATGGCGAAGCTTCTCCTAGACCACGGCGCCAAGGTCACCGTGCGCGCCGTGGACTCCCCCGCTGCCAGCAAGCTGTGCTACCTCAAGCATGAGTCCCCTACGGGGAGCCCGGGCAGTCCCAGGAGCCCCAGGAGCCCCAGGGGCATGGCGGCAGGGAGGAAGGACGAGACGCGCAAGGTCTCAGTGGCCAACAAGACACCTCTTCTGGTGAGATTCCGGAGAGTTCTGATTGAATCTTCGCTGCGTTTGCATTGCTTCTCATAGGCCATGGCGCCAAGGTCACCGTGCCGCGCGCCATGGACTCCCCCGCGGCCACGACTCGCCGCCCTCTGCTAGGTCTGGAAGCCCGGTAGGTTCGGGCAGCCCGGTAGGTTCGGGCAGCCTGTTCAGTCCCAGGAGCCCGAGGATTCCGAGAGGGCTGGTGGGGAGGAAGGACGAGACTCGCAAAGTGGCAGTGGCCAACAAGACGCCTCTGCTGGTGAGGTAACCGAGACTTTCAATGCCTTTCTTATACCTTTCGTTCTGGTGAGTCTTCTGGAAAAAGGCAAAAAAAACAAACAAACAAACACTCGCACGTCGCGTCTCTGGTGAATTTTCAGAACTGGAGAAGCACAACTAAATTGAGACTGCTCTATGCTGAGAGGCTGAGGCGGGGGCATTGCCCTTGACAGGGCATTCCAGACGACGATTACCCGCTCAATCATGCTCTGCCATCCCTCTTCGCCACTCTCCACCATCCTCCACTCCACACGTCTCTGAAGTCCAGCCTGTGATTGAAGGGCTGGGACTATCGCCACTACGGCGCGATGCTGCACCTGCTTGGGTGAATCAATACCATGTACTGTTATCCCTCTTCACCACTCTTCACCACTTGTCGCTACTCTCCATCCTTCTCCACCCACAGGTGGCACTGGAGCTCAAGTCTAGCCTGTATCTGAAGGGCTGGGACTACCGCCATTGGGATGCCATGCTGGACCTGCTTGCTGACGCGACAGTTGCTGAGCTGGCAGGCCACCCGTTCCATGGGCCGGGGCCGGCGCAGCTGCCAGCTGTAGCAGACGGCTGGGCGGCGGTCTTTGGCAGTGGAGGGCATGAGCTGGTGGAGGTGTGGGCTGAGGGGAAGCACATTGATGTGTTGAAGATGCTTCTGGTGGTGCATTCTAAGGTGAGATGCGGTGAAGTGTGGTGCGGTGCGGTGCGGTGAGGTGGGGAGGGGCATGAGCTGGTGGAGGTATGGGCGGAGGGGAAGCATCTGGACGTGCTGAAGATGCTGGTGGTGGTGCATTCTGAGGTGAGATGAGGTGCAGTGTGGTGAAGTGCGGTGAGATGCCGTGAGGTGTTGGGGGGGCATGAGCTGGTGGAGGTGTGAGCAGAGGGTAAATCCAAGGTGTGATATCAAGTAACACAAACGCAGAGTGGCGACAGCAAACACGGGCCTATTAGCTCAGCTCGTTAGAGCATCGTGCTAATAACGCGAAGGTCACAGGTTCGAGACCTGTATGGGCCAGAATTTTGACCCTTATGCTGTCCTCTTTCGACCCCTAGTCTGCTTTTATTTGCACGCTTCCAGTGACGCCACATGGCTTCACTGGCCACGTTGGCCAGCAGCAGTGGAAATCTACAGTCTTAACACTTCGCGATCCATGCCTTACTTCCATCCTTCAATACACTTTTCGAGTGAGCAGAAGGTTCCAGTGAGCTTTAGGAAGCAAACGTGTTTACCTTTCCTCTCTCTCCTCCTGCTCCACATGCATGTGCAGAGGTTTAAGTTTGAGCTTGAAAAAGCGGCGGCAGTGAGTCCGGGCAGGCTGGAGATCACAGACGCCTCGTTCAACGTGGTCAAGGCGGTCATGGAGTTTCTTTACACTGGCCACGTCAGCAGGGAGTTCATGGGACACAGAGGCGTTGACCTGCTGCTGGCTGCTCATAAGGTGAGGTCAATGAGGGACATTCAACGTGGTCAAGGAATTCATGGAGTTTCTGTACAACGGCCACGTCAGCAGGGAGTTTTTGGGGCACAGAGGCGTTGACTTGCTGCTGGCTGCTCACAAGGTGAGGTCACTGGGGGGCTAGTCAACATGGTCAAGACGGTCGAGGGGTTTCTGTATGTCAGCAGGGTCAGAGGGGTTGACTTGCTGCTGGGTGCGCACAAGGTGATGGGTCAATGAACATGGTCGGTGCAGTCATGGAATCTTACAAGATAGAGATTTCACCTGTCTCCCACCCCAACCCCCTTTCTCCCTAGTCCCCCAACCCATCCTTATCTCCCACTTTGCCTAATTTGTCTTGTCCCTCTTTTTCTTTTCTGCTATGCAATGTCTTGCAGTACGAGGTGTTTGCGCTGCAGAAGCTGTGTGAGGAGCAGCTCGAGCCCACTCCAGGTAATTGGGATTCCTAAATTCGATAAATGATGATGATGAGGAGGGACGAGGAGTGGGTTGACGAGTGAAGGATGATGAAGATGATCAGGACGCTTGCACCTTCTTTTAACACTGGTCTATTGATGCTGGTTGATTGTTCCATTTTCCCAATGTGCCATCTGGCAGAGAGTTGGATCAAGATGCTGACTGCAGCTCTGGAGTGTGGCGCCGATGCATTGGTGCTGAAGGTGGCGAGGTCGATCCATGCAGTCATGAATACACGCCATGCCACGCGCCTCTTTGTCAAACAGCCGTTTTCCGCCTCCATCCATCCCGAGGGTGGCCCGGCACAGCTTCCCCTCATCGATGATGCTGGCGTCGAGGAGGAGGTGGAGGTGAAGACATTGTGATTCTTTTCATTGAAGGAAATGTTTTACGTGTAAATACCGGTGTACATTTGTCACTGCATGTTGTTCAGAAGGATGTTTTGTAGATTCACCATGATTAGGGAGGGGGGTAAGCTAGAGAGTGGAGGGTTCACATCACATTCTATCATGAATCACTTGATTACTACGTTACATAATGCTTCTGTTTTGCTTGGATTCTGTTTATATTCCCTGTAATGAATATACATTCATTACTGCCGAAGCTGCTCCTAGCGAGTACAGCCCCGAGCTCTTCGCGTCAGATTTCGGTTCGGCCTACATTTCAGCCCGAACCACCGCCGAGTCGTCCCGCACTAATCGCGACACTTCCAATCCATCCACGTCCCAAGGTCCTCGCCTAGCACGGTTTCGACCCTATAAATGCGTGCTCCTTCATCATTCTTGATCATTCTGTAATTCGGTAGTTTTCATCCTTTTTGTTACGATATGAAGTTTTATGAGTAAGGCATTCCTGTATGCTGCAGGAGCCGACTCAACCGAGAACGAAGTCGAGGAGTCAGAAGAGTCGAAGCGACACAGCAACCGTCCGACCAAGACCGATGCAGGCAGAAACACTTGAGGTGAAAAAGGCGGGAACAGGGTTTGAAACAGGTTCCCGCGCCGCACGGTTTGAATTCAGTTGTAATAAGGGAATGTACCCCTTAGAGTACATGGCTAGTCTAGGTCTTTTCGTATTCCCCTGTACTCTTATATAAACTCGATGTATGCATGCTATTATCAACTCAGTCATTTACATTCACTCTGACCTGAGATTCAAATCTTCCGCTGCAATACTACTCTGCGATCAACCCTGAGCGATCCTTCGCTAAGTCCCATTTTGGGATTGTAACATGGTATGAGAGCTACTCAGGGATTCTTCGCAACTTCACTTCCGTGAAATTCGCCGAACCAAGATCTGGCGAGCGGGACACGCTCCAAGACCAAGATGGCCGGAGGATCCGGAGGCCAAGCAAATCTAACGGCTGAAGGACAATCCAACCCGGCTGCGACAAACGAGGCGACAACTACGATCGGCACAGCCGCTCTCGAGCAACTTTTCGTTCGACTCTCAACTATGGAGAAAGAACTCCAAGAACTGCGCAAAGGCGATGCGGGAACTTCTTCCCAACCAGCACAACCTGGACAACCGGCTGAGAAAAGCCGTGATACCGCCGCGCACACCTTCTCCCTCGACGCAGACAAATCAACAACAACTGCCCCCCGTCCAAGTGATGAAGCTATCAACTCTGCGCAGACACGCTTTCTTAGCGTCTAAAAAATCAAGACTACTGCCGCGTTTGACGGCAAGGACTTTTACACGTGGAGTTTCGAGCTTGAGCTCCTCCTACAAACAGCGCAGATCTACCACTACTTCGACGGCTCCTATTCCAAACCGGTGGAAAACACCGACGTCGCCAGGGCTCAGTACTACAGCGAGTCCCCCATGGCCTACAGTGTGTTGCTACGCAACATGACGCCTGCGGAACAACTCAACATACGCTCCTACAAAGAGAGCGACACTCCAGCCATGGAAGCCTGGAAGCACCTCATTGAGGTTTATCAGCCGAAGGATTCGGTCACCGCCAGCAGGCTTCTGCAGCAACTCCTGGAGAAAAAAATGGGGCACGGGGAGAAGGCAAATCCGTACATTAACCGCTGTCGCAACATTCGTGACCAGATCACGAAGCATGGGAGTACGATCTCAGAAGAGATCTTCGTCAACATAGTCCTTCAAGGACTCGGGCCAGAGTGGAAGCCCTGCAAAGCATTACTCCGACAGCGAGGAATCATTTCAGAAGCCGCGCTATGCGCCGCACTCCTGTCCGAACAGCAGGACATGGACTCGAGCAGAACAAGCTCCGCGCCGCGCCGAGAGCGCCTCGCCTTCTACGCGGACAACCGAGAAGAGCGACGACAACCAAGGCGCTATTATTGCAAAATATGCAAGGTCTTCGGACACTCAGCGGATCGATGCAAGTCCCGATCCAACCAACGCCACCCAAATTCCACTCACCATAACAATTGGGTCGGCCGACAAGACGCTCGTCATTCTCAACCTCAGCACCAACAAACTCGTCCTCCTGCACAGCATCAACACCAACAAAATCAAGGATCTCAGTCAGGAGCTCCGAGGAACATCATTGCGAACATGGCGACGCGCCGCCGTCGCACTGCTGAACCTGACGAGGAGATCGAAGTCCAAGGAAGACTTCTACAACCGGAAGAAGGATGGAATAATCCCTTCACCGAGAACCACTACTACCTGTACGACGAAGACGAGCAGGATTGGAATCAACCAATCACATTGCGGGAAAGCCCGCCACATGACAATCAACACTACGTACCAGTGGGTTGGAAGGAGGACGAAGACCCTTTCTTCTACAGGCGCTACAAAGCCACCCTGGTAACTCCGCGATTGGCGCTACTACTGCGACGAAACAACACCGACAACTACAACACATGGTACCTGGACAGCTGCTGCGGACAACATATGGTAGGATCTACGCGATACGTCTCCAACCTGAGTCGCGCTCCCGCAACCTACGTCACCGTCGCCAACAACGAGCAGCTGCGCGCCAACTCACAGGGCCTTGTCGTCCTGCAAGCACGAGACAGCAACACCCACATCTCGTTCAATGACGTTCTCTACGTCCCGAATCTCCGCTTCAATCTGCTCTCGGCTGGACAACTCCGCGACTGTGGCGTCATCATTCACACGGATCTTGCCACGCGCGACCTCATCCTTACCTACGCTCCCCCGGACACTCCTCCTGAGGCATTCAAATACCTTGGTCGAGCCCGCTCAATCAACGGAATCTACATCCTGGACTTCGACATACCTCCCTGTCAAGCGTCGTCAGACGAACTCGTGGACCTTGTCCTCCTCGAGTTCGCCTTCATGGAACAGAAGTCATGGGAGCATCCGGATGGACGACCGTGGATTCGCCGCAGCCCTCACCCCCGCGAGATCAACCTGCACGAACCAGACGACAACGGTCTCTGCACAACCTGCCACACGCCCACCGCGAGTCGCACGGAGCAAGTCGAAAGAGAGCAAGCGGCAATCCAAGAAGCAGAAAGAGCTGAGGCGGAACCTACCGGCATGACCAGAGAAGAACTTGCCGTTGCATCTTACCGCGTCTTCGGTGAAGCAGACAAGGAATACAAGCTCGAACGAACGGAAAGGGCAAAGCCCTATTCGGACAATCTTCAGTTCGTTCTGGAGGCCAATGTCACCACCAAAGACAAGGAAGGACGAGAAAGCCCATACACCCGCGAAGTTTACCGCCGCCACATCGACCCTGCCTGGAAAGACCCTGATGAAGCAGAGGAGCTGAGCGTCAAGGAAGAACAGGAAAAGGCACGGGCGGAAAAGAAGCAGAAACTGTATGAGGAGCGCGTCGCGGCAGGCTGGGACGAAGAGTCTGCACGTCGTGGCGCATGGGGAGATGAAGATTACGAACCAGAAGAAGGAGAAACCTGGGCATCCGCAACTGGAGCATGGGGAGCCAGCGCCAGCGGCGTTGTCACCACCGGAGGATGGGGAACAACAGAACCTGAGGAAGGGGAGCTCACGCAAAAAGAATTGGACGAAGCTGAACGAGAAATGCAAGCAGAACGCGGAGAAGTACCACCCCGCGTTGCCATTCCTCTCGGACGACCCCCGCGCACTCGCGAACCTCCGCGCTCACCTTATCGTTGGAACGATCCCTGGTCAGAGATTGAGGAGGGGAACGTACCACCAACGCCTCCGCGGGACTCACTCGGTCCAATCTCCCGCCCAGATCCGTTTGCGCGCTTCATCGAAGGTACCACAACCCCGCTCACCATCATCCCCGACCGCGAATTTCTCGCGCTTTACCTCACAACGGCACCTGCAGAAGGGGAGGCAACGACGGAAGCAGAAGCAGAGGAGCCGGACAACGAAGCAGAACCAGGAGAAGAAGAAGAACCTCCACTCCATATCCCGGAACTCACAACGGAGGAGGCAGCAGAATACCACACCCGCTACAAGCGCACCTCCGACATCCGCGCCGAGGATGATCTCTGGCACTAGCGGATGGGCCACCCCTCGCGCCAGACACTCGCCAACTGCCTCCGCGCAAAGGTTTTTCCGCCAAGAGCACTACTGCGCCCCGACGGGACGGAGCTACTGCACACCACCCCCCATCCAACCACTTGCACTGTCTGCCCCACAGCTGCACTCTCCCACACCGCCTATCCCTCTCTGGAGCCGAGTACCAACCGTTACAAGAAGCTGGAAAAGGTGTATAGCGACTTCATCGTGCTCACCTGCGACGGCATCAACGGCGAGAAGTATACCCTCACCTTCATCGACGCCTACTCACGCCACGTGTGGATCGCCAACGTTGACGCCCGCTCCAAGGCTCCGGAGGTGTTCCGCATCTTCCTCGCACACGCGCAGCGACAGTCGGGGAGGAAACTGAAGATCTGGCAGAGTGATGGGGCAAAGGAATTTCGGAGCAACGAACTGGAGAGCGTGCTCACCGAAAAGGGGATTAGGCATGAGATCTCTCTCCCCTATGCTCACCAGCAGCAAGGTGTCGCCGAGAGGGTCAATCGCACGCTCATGACCAAGGTCAGCGCCATCATGAATCAGTCCGGCCTACCAAAGAAGTTCTGGCCATACGCCATGAACCATGCGGTGCGCCTGCACAACCTCCTCTCCACCACCGCCAACAGGGATAACCTGTCCCCTCACATGAAGTGGACCAGCTCAAGGGGAGACCCCTCCATGCTGAGGGTTTGGGGGTGCATGGTGCAATACCGGCCGACCTCAGCAACTATCGGCAAGTTCGTTCATCGTGCGCGCTGGGGAGTTCATCTGGGGCTCAGCCACGAGCACAAAGGATGGCTCATTCTTGACATCGACAGCAACGAGATCGTTCCGGCGCGTGACATTCTCTTCTATGAACGACTCACCCTGAAGCAGTGGATCGAGGACGAGCGCCGAAACCAGGCAC